CATCACCAGGGCGCGCCACGGTCAGTCGTCGTCGTGTAAGCTTCTGAGATCCATAGACGCCGCTCAACTGTGCCGTGGGTAGCTTCCAAGCTCATGGGAGGAGCATGCGAAGAGAGGCCGCACCTCGAACTCCGCCTCTATCGAATTTTCCTTTTATCTGCAGGTGGCGCTACGAACGCACCAACGGCCGATGCTCCACTCAATGCCGGCCTTTCGCCACGGTATGATGCGGATCTTCTTACGATTGCCTTTTTACGATATCCTATTTGATTGACTCTTTCTGACTGTGAGGACAAATTGTACGAGTGTGTAAATGAAGAAAGCAAATTTTAGATATATCTATGGCTTATTGGATAAATATTTTCGTAAAATTTGAAATTTCCGTTTTTATTACGCGAGAAATAATTCTGTTTATAAAAATTATATTTGTACATATTTTATGAATTTGTTAAGATTATATTTTTGTTTGCTATATATTTCTGAATCATCGATGTATTTTAATTATATTAATTTAAAAATTGAGAATCATTGTTTTTTTAACTTTTAAATTTGCGCGTGACAGGACTATTTAATTGAAGACATAGTATATTCATCTATGTTCGGCTCTACCTATGCTCGTACCTCTATAGTACATTCGAGTTTAAATGTTGCGAAATGATATAGTACATTTACGTATAGTTTTTTTTTCTTTCGTATGCATCAAATTTAATAAGATTTTTCTTTTTTTCTTTAAACATACAAGTTTCATTCTTTTATCTTGATATATGATAGAAAATTAATTAACTACGTATTTAATTAGTAAACAGAAGTTTAAATAATGATTTTATTCGGACAATAAATTTTGACATTTAGAAAGTGATTAAATGCCGATATTTTCGGATCAGCAGTGATAAGAAAAGAAAGTGTATGACAATGAATGAAAAAGAATGATCGAATCAGACGAAGTAAGAATAATAAATGATATGTATATAGATTTATTATCTACATTATATTTGGTTTCATTTTTCAGCAAAATCACACGAATATTCATACAAAATTCATCCATAAAGAAATAAATCAAAATTATAAGAATCAATTTTTTCTCTGAGTTAATTGAATAAGAATAGCACTGTCTGTCACTTATTTCTATATTTCGTTTCGCAGTCATTAAAGACAAAAAGAGACACAACGATATAACGATAATAATTCCACCATAAATATCACAGTTTGCGTATTGATTGTTGTCTCTATTATTCGTATCTATACTTATACCTATAACTTATTCATAATATTTCCTATCTACGTAGCGTAATAACGGTTCGCCTCGCAATTTTTCACCCATAATCCCCACCTCCCGGTATACTTAACTTTACCAGTTTGCCTCTGGTCTATCGAAGCGTGCTGGCGCTTGAAAATGCTCTTCTCCTATAACATTAAAACTTCACGAATAGAATAGTGGTGGGGCGGGGGGGGAGGGGGGGCTCTTAAAAAGTCGAGAAAGCGGCGAACGGCTTCTTGTAAAAGGCGGAAAGTATCGAACGTTAATACGAGGTATCAAGAGAACTTACTTTACTTTTGACCGTCGAACAAACAACCCCAGCCCTGGTTTCATCGCGTCGAACGAACATGGCCGCAACCGGCCAGCGGAATGTTGGAAGGATGGTGGCGTATATAAAAGAACCTACAAAATATACAGGGTGTCATATTTGCATATGGAAAATTAGACTTAAACTGATCCTTTGTGAATTGAAAATTTAAACTCGATATGATTAAAATAAACTTATTATTTTGTAGTGTATTATAATTAGAACAAATAGATATTCAGCCATTGCTTTTCATAAGTACTAATATCAAATGCATCTTCGAAACATCTACTATCAAAAGACAATGGAGTATCCAGAAACCTAACCTAACCATTCGATCATTCATATCAAACTTTTCCACCTTCTTTGCTGTCGATTGACAATCATTCGCAGTATTTAGGTGGCGACACCACTGTCTTTGTTCACCAACGAAAGAATCACCCCGTATACGAGGTTCCGACTACAGCTCGCCTCTCCGTTTCCCTTTTATTTCCTGGGCCGCTTTTCACTTCGGTTTTTCCAAGTTCTAGGAGGGGTTTGGCCGCCAAGTTTATTCAGTCCGCCAAACTTTGTAGTACAGCGTGTCGACCGCCAGGGGGCAGTGCGCCCTCGGACAAGAGGTGGGAACCGGAACTGGACGGCCGGCTCCGGACATAACCACCTCCACACCAGCTCTCTCCTTACACATCAAGACCTCCTCTCTCTCTCTCTC